GTCAATAATATTTAGTTTATCAATTTGATACTGCTTACGTTTCTACAGTATCATAATTCTCTTGTTTCATTTCATTATTATATTACACGTTCTAAATAATCAAATCAAATGTGTCTTTGAAGAGGTAGTCGATTACTCAAAAACAAAAACAACTGTACAGTGTGTTTATGCACCTGGCTGCCAAAGATAAACATGCAGTTTGACCGAGAGGCATTTCAGTGCAGAATCTATCTTTATTTATTTAGAAGACGGGAACAATTTCCTTAACACGGACACGGAATGACCTCTGGAGTCCAGCATGTCTTTGAGTTCCTCTGACCCTTCCTCTGAAAGTGGAGAGGACACTGAGGATTCTTCACTGGGGTGAGGTGGGGTCTGCTGTTCCCACAGGCACCAGAAAACAGCTCCAGCTGCAGTACCCCGGGAAGCCCTCTTCGGAGTAAAAACCCTCCAAGATTCCTCACCGTCCACTTCCCTGGTAGCCTGCTGTGCCAACGTCCTTATAAAGATGGTCGCATTGAAAGCACCCGGTTTCATTAAACAAATAAACAAAAAGGCTAACAGTTGGTTTTGCAGCGAGTCATCATAGGCTAACAGATGACTGTTTCCCTGTAAGACTCACATTTAACACGTGTTACTTGTATTGCTGTCCAATTCAATACACCAGATTAGTTGTTAACTTTAAACAAACAACACGATTCACATTACTCACACTCTTACTGTAATTAGTGATTAAATCAACAATTAATGTAGGACACCTAGTTGGGCTTGCCAAAATCACGCTACAGTTTCATTAAACAAATAATAAAAAATGCTAACAGTTTATTTTGCCGAAAGCTATAGCTAATGAATCATTGTTTTTAGTGCCTTTAATACGGTTAGAAGCTATCATAAGCTAACAGGTGATTGTTTGTATTGCCTTAAGACTATCATAGTTAACGTTCGCTAATCACACTTCATTTCAAGACACCGGAATTGTTGTTAATATTAAACAAATAAAACTTTAAAAGCACTTCACATTACTCACACTCAGTGCGTTGTCGTTCATATTCATGTCTCCTACTCGCAAGGTGACAGTGTCACAAAAAACTAGGGTCCTAGGAGTGCAGTCCCAGGACTGCGGTCCTGAAACTGCAGTCTCCGACGCTGCAGCTTCATGCTACTCGGACTGGGACTAAAAATCAGCCCGGGAATCTCACTCAGCCCAGCCCACGTAAACTGTCAACAGGGGGGGGGTGCTAGTGAACTGTCAACGGGGTGGGGGGGAGCTCATGAGAAACTTTCTCGTGCGCACCAGTTACTAACCCGTTATCCCTACTTTATTTTTTTTCTCTCGCTCTCTCTTTTTTTTTTTTTTTTTTTTTCATGTGTCTTTATGGTCTCCGTACATTGCACTTCATATTGACGGCTCAATCTGTCCCCGGAAATGTCCCCGTTTTTAAATGTGCTTTATAAACACATAGCAAGGTGAAATAAAATGGTAACAAAGTTGATGTTTCAATGGTGTGGTGCTTGTTCGCAGCAATACAATTATTGTAGCCTTAGCGTTAGCATTTAGCGTTAGCAGCCTCATTCTTCTTCTACTACTTATTTTACTTATTCTTCTTCTCCTTCTTCTTCTTCGATGTAATTGCCCGCGAAATTTTGAATGAACATCTCGTTTCAGTGTGAATTCATTCCACAGTATGACCACAAAAGTGTTTTAAACCAGGTACGTTTTTATTATTTATGTTCTATATCGCTATGTGTGTGATTACATGTTTTACATATTGTATTGGTGCCGGTGCGTTAAAGACCCAGGGACGTGCACAGACATTTGGAGGGGTTATATATTTTATTATCAGTATGTCTGCACAGCAGTTACAATGGTCAAACTACATTGAAACAGAATTGTCCCCAATTTTTCTTTAATAGTTATAACATTACATATTTTTAAGAGATACAGTATGGGCCGCAAAACAAAAAATGTCCCTTGTTTTCATTTAAAAAATCAAGTCACTGAATAAGTAGTCGCCTTAGCTTATTTTGTTATGAGATGATGATGTGAATTACTGTTCAAATTAGTTAATGTAATAATCGTTTGGTTATTTTATGCATAGCCTAATGTTACATTTCTGTGCTTAAGAATGCTTTCAAGACAGAGGAGACTGCAGAGAGAGAGATATCTGAAGGAGGCAGCTAAAAGGACTGCAACTTTGCAGAGCTGGATAAAAGGTGCCAGCAGGGCATCTGCAGGTGAATCACTGTGATTATGTCAAGCAACTACATAAGTTGGAGTACACAAATAACTCATTAAAACAAATATTTAAATCAGTGATAAATGCAAAGCCTGTCTCTGTGCTGAGTGAAGTAAATATTTTTCTGTTGGGGGCTAACCCCAAGCCTCCAGTTCAGAGCGCATTTGAGAGCTTGGTGATCTAGTAAAAATACTACTAATAGCTGTAGTATAATATGGATAAGATGGCCAGATAACTGGTTCACAAAGGCTTTACAACAGGTTGTAAATATTCTATACAAGTAGGCAACATATTTATTTTCACATGAATGACTAGATATAACCTTCTCCAATCTAAAATGTAACTGACTGCACTAGTGTTCAGTTGTCTTTGTATGTTTTTATAGCAGTAAAGAATGAAGTGTATATGTTACTTAATTCTGATTCTAATAATTCTGTTTAAGAATACGAATATATGTAAAATGTTTATTTTGGAGACAGCTCCATCTTTGAACTCCTTTATAGTGTGAAAATGAGATCACAACAGTAATAATGCTTTCATTATTTGAACACTTAGCAACAATGCCTTACAAAGAGCTCTAAAACATTGTCTTAATTGTATTTGATAGATGGTGAGCCTGAGACAAAACACAATGATGCCCAGAACAGTTCAGACTCAGAGAATGAAGAAAGGATAGAGACATAATCTGAACATGAGGAGAAAGAGACAGGAATTGAGAATGAAGAGACAGGAACTGAGGACAAAGAGATGGAAGGGGAGGATATGGAGATTGAGAGGGTAGAGATGGAGAATGAGGCAGTAACATCAGAGTCCACAAAAGTGAAAGCACCTTCAGAATATTTTTTTTTTGCTACAGCTACCAAACCCCACCGATCCAGCCCATGTCCAAAATAACAATATCAAGTACAATGAGGCCTTCGTCAAATGTTCAAACTCAATTGCACCCTGTCGTCCTCTGGTCCAGTTCCCAACAAATCAAGATGGGCGGTCTTTTCAGGGCCACTCAAGGGTGTAACTTTGGTTTGAGAAGTGGGGGTGACACAAAACAGGGGGTCCTCCGCAATGAAACATTTTCTCAATTTAATTCCATTTCCTGCCTTTCTACAACTATATTAGGGACTATAGTGTTAACAAATCCAAGAAAAATGTGTTGTGTATATAATGAGTGTGCACACTTATCTAGTATTCTATCCATGTGAACCTGTTTTATTTGTGATGACCTCACATCCTCTAGGGGGGTCCCGGTGCATGCACCCCAGGAAGATTTGTTTTCTTTAAATTGAAGCTAAATGCATCAATCTGGTGCACAAATGAAGAGATGTATGGATACAGTTCTCAACACTCATATACAACAGAACTGTATATATTGCAATACTCCAAAAACCATTAGAATATGCTCACAACCAATAACACATCATTGATATACTCCTCTCTCCTATCTTTATCTTACCTAGTCTGCATTCTTTCTTTTTATTTATGCATATTTGACTAATCACTCCCCTTTCAAACTGTGGTTTTTTATTTTTGTACTGACCTATAGTACACATTGGAAGGATCTAATATTACATAGATGGAAATATTTGTTTACATCGATGACCAAACCGTTTGAGACCCACTGAGATAACTAGACTAAAGTTTACAACCTAATCGCTCAGCGAGTCCTTTACCTCCCTGAGCTGACGTTATCTCTCTCAGTCCCACAGGAGAGGACCCTCCCTCTCCTTATTGTTGAAACAGCTTCTAATTCTCCGTTAGCTCCGAGCTAGCACCAGATGCTAACAACAACCCCTGTAACTCTCTCTGTCTCTGTCTCTCCCCGTCTCTCTCTCTCTCTCTCTCTCTCTCTCTCTCTCTCTCTCTCTCTCTCTCTCTCTCTCTCTCTCTCTCTCTCTCTCTCTCTCTCTCTCTCTCTCTCTCTCTCTCTCTCTCAGTCTATCAAAGTCTGACAGGAAAGAGCTCTCCCTCTCCTTATTGTTGAAACAGCTACTAATCTCTGTTAGCTCCGAGCTAGCACCAAATGCTAACAACAACCCCCGTAACTCTATGTCTCTCTCTCTGTCTCTCTCTCTTTCTATCTCTCTCTCACAAGATGCGCTCGTGCCACACACACACACACACACACACACACACACACACACACACACACACACACACACACACACACACACACACACACACACACAGACGCTCCTCCGTGACGATGACCACTTGCTAAAAAAATAATAATAAACACATTTAAAAAGTGGGGGGGACACAAATGGGATTTTGAAAAGTGGGGGGGACATGTCCCCCCTTTCCCCAGTGGAAATTACGCCCATGGGGCCACTGGTATGATGAAAACCCCTGGTTGGAGTATCTCCACAGAATGATGCTATGTACTGCTTCAGCTGTCGCATTGTTATGAATGACGATAAGTACAAGAGTAGGTCTACAAGGAAGTCTGGAGGTGTAAAGAGTGGAGGCAGGCAAAAGTAAGAATGAAGGAGCACTGCTGCAGTGAATCGCACATGATTGGCGTGACCAAGTGGAATAAATATAAGATAAATCCATTGAACATGGCTTTTGCAGTAGCAGATTCACAGATGCAAGCAGCAAAAGAAAGAGAGAGGCAAAAAAACAGAGAGAGAGAGGGGGGGGGGGGGGGGGGCTTTTTCCAGTTTAGAGCAATAGCCCCTCCAAATGTCTGTGCACGTCCCTGGTATCAGGGGAGGGCTGGCTCTCAGCGCGGAGCTCCAGTTTGGTCCTTCCCTCGCTCCAGTCTAGTCAAGGAGACAGCCGCGCCTCACTTATTAGGCGCCCCCTCCTCTCCATCCCCGCTGCTGCCAAACTCTCTATCTACACCCACACACTGATCCTGGACCAGCAGCAGCTCCTCTCTTCTCTCCGCACCGCTCCACCGTGGTGCGCCCCGGACGCGCTCTTCCTCTCCAGTTCAGGATGGACTTGTCTCCTTCTCATCTCCTCTAACACTGACTGTGACGCTGCTGCAGTTTGGTGGGAGTTCCTCTGGAAAAGGGCTGAAGCTGCCTGTCCACTTATTTTGATCAAACTCCACACTGCGGGCTCCGAAATGGGAATGTATCTACATGTGCTGTTTTTGCAGTACTATTTCCTAACGAGTTTGGTTTGCAACGCCGTCGCTTTCGTGGAGGAGCCCTCCGGAGGAAGGTCGGACGGGTACTGCGGGCGGATCCTCCGGGCGCAGACGCAGGGGACCCGGAAGGATGGGCACCATGAGTTCAGGCTCCGTGTGGAGGGGGACCCGGAGTCCTACCAGCCGGGCAGCACCTACAGAGGTACGGTCCTTCTGCCCAATCAGTGCGTAAACTTGTGGAGCGTTTTGCAAGTTGGTAAACAGGGCATATGTATTCCAAATGTAATATTAATTGTATTATATTTCCACAAACCTTGAGTAGGCTACGTCTAACCAACTTACATTGCAATTAATAGCCATAGAATTAAAGTACAACTTCCAGTCAGTCTGCCTCCTCTTACCGGAGCTGGGAGAAGTAGGCTACTTAAGTAGAAGTAGAAGTACCAGAGTGTAGGAATACTCTGTTACAAGTACAAGTCCTGCATTAAAAATGTTACTCAAGTAAAAGTAGGCCTAAATGAAAAATGTAAGTACCAAAAGTAAAAGTAGTCGTTTCAGAATAATACATGTTTTATAATTATTGATAATGAAAGTGTTCTTAAAGGTGCAGCTAGTTTTAATGACTTTGTATACTGCAGGGTAGCTTGTGAATTTACTCCAGGTGGAACTAAAGTCTGATTTAAGACTTGATTATATTTCACATCCTTAATACAAATCTGTAAAGTAACTAAAGGTATTAAATACATGTAGTGGAGTAAAAGTACACGATTTAACTCTGAATTGTAGCATAAAATGGAAATACTCAAGTAAATTACAAGTACCTCAAAATTACACTTAAGTACAGTATTTGAGTAAATGTACTTCCACCCTTGCCTCTTTCACAGTGTTATTATTGCAGGAGGTCTTAACATGTGTTTCTGGTACAAGATATAGGCTACAAATCAAACCGTGAGGAATGTCAATGGTCCAGGCTAAAACAAGATCTGTACGAATACATGGTGCAAAAAAGATGACGCGTTTCAGTGAAGTATATAGCCTACTGTAAATTAGGGAATTATGTCACACAATGGATTAAAACAGACAAAAACAAAAAAACATTTACTTGCTAAATTAGACAGTAAAAATCTAATTCGCAATACCCAAAAGTAGATCAAAGTTGAATACTTTTACATCAATAACATTCAAGCATTACCTAACGAAAGAAGCTGAACATTTTCTGCATTGTTTCAATAGAGGAGAGTTGTGGTTTGTAAGGCTACTTCGTTTTTTAACGACCAACCTGCATTCACTTCCTCTCCTCACACACAGACAGTGTTGGAAGAAGAGCTTGTATTTAGTGAAAGTAGTAAAACCAAAGTGTGGAAATACTCTGTTACAAGTTTAAGTCTGGGCATTCAACATTGTACTTATCTAAACAATTATAACCATCAACAATACATCAAGTACCACACTTAAATTCTCATAATGCATAAAGGACATTTTTGGAATAATATATATTCTACCACTAGATCATAATTAATTAATGTGCTTTTTTCAGCTGTTAAAGGTGGAACTAACTTGAATGACTTTTTATACTGCCAGTGCCGGTTATATTAATACATAATATAACATCATGATTCATTACTTGATTATATTTTTAAATTAATAGTGGCAACCTGCAAAGTAACTCATCGTGTCAAATAAAGAAGTGGAGTGAAAAGTACACTATTTGAGTACAAGTATGAATTTGCTATACCTAAGTATAAGTGAGGTAAGTACAAGAACCTCAATATGCACTACAGTGGCCTTACTTACTCAGACATTCTTGGTGAGTTTATAGCAGTTTCAGAAACAACAAAAATACAGCTGTATCCCTTTACTTTTAAATCCAAATAGTATTCAGAATAAAATATCTCCACTGATAAAATGGGAATATTTCAGAAGACCAGGCATGCTACAGTGTTGAGACAGGGCTCAACAATACAGACGAAATTCAAGGGTCCTCATCCCCATATAACACTTGAGATTATGGACATTTTTGACAAACCAGGACTCTGTCAGTGACCTGCAGACATCACCCAAGGAAGACGAATAAAACACTGCCTTAGGTAGCAAATAAGTTCACTTTTTAGAACTGTGATTGCAAATATTGACATCTTCCTTATCAGCACCAGGAGCACAGTCTAATATAAATGGACTGGTATGAAGATGCAAGGTAGGGCACAGGGGCGATCCAAATAATATTCCACTCAGTTTTATCATGGATCCTCTTCTTAGCTGTGCCCTGCAAAAAACTCCCTGCAAAATATATTATGAAGAAGAAGAATTGGGAGGGATGAAACCCTCTTTAAATGGTCACACATGCAGAGCACACAGCACACAGTGAAATTTGGCCTCTGCATTTAACCCATCCTAGTACCAGGAGTCTAGTACTAGGAGCAGTGGGCAGCTATTGTACAGCGCCCGAGGAGCAATGGGAGTGAGGGCGATGTCCGTTGCCTTGCTCAAGGGCACCACGGCAGGGCAGGAGGTGAACTGGGACCTCTCCAAGTAGCAGTCCACACTCCATATTTAGGTCTGGTCAGGGACTTGAACCGGCGACCCTACGGACCTATAGTGTGAGATACATCTATTTCCAGACCCCACTCTTCCACATCACACTGAATCTCACAGAAATGCTGCTTTTGTGTGTGTTTCCCTCGCCTCATCCACTGACCCTGATGTATGAGCCACTTTAAGCACACAGTTACATCGGAGTAAAATATGTCATGTCATATAATTCAAATCAATACTACAGCTTTTTTTTTTCTTTTTTTTCTTCTTTCTGAAGAACCAGCACCTTACCGTGGTAGAGAGGTTTGTGTGCCCTGATGAACCTGGGGGCTGTGTTGTCTGGAACCTTGTGTTCCTGGTAGGGTCTCCCATGGCAAATTGGTCTCAGGCAAGGGGCCAGACTAAGATTGGTTCAAAAAGACCTCATGAAAGACGACACAGGAAGTGAGGATACCCGGCCCGGAGGAAGCCTGGGGTCCCCTTCTGGAGCCAGGCCCAGAAGGAGGACTCGTCAGCGAGCGTCTGGTGGCCGGGCTTGCCACGGAGCCCGGCCGGGCACAGCCCGAAAAGGCAACGTGGGCAACACCTCCGCTTCTCCGTCCCGCGGGCCCACCACCTACGGGAAACAGCGATGGGGTCGGGTGCGCTGCCAGAAGGGTGGCAGTGAAAGCAGAGGGTCTCGACGGACTAGACCCGGGCGACAGAAGCTGGCTTTTTGGACGTGGAACGTCACCTCTCTGGGGGGGAAGGAGCCGGAGCTTGTGCGGGAGGTGGAGCGTTACCAGTTGGATCTGGTTGGGATCACCTCTACTCACAGCGTCGGCTCTGGAACCTATTCTTCTCCGGAGTTGCTCAAAGTGTGAGGCGCCGGGCGGGTGTGGGGATACTCACAAGCCCCCGGTTGGGTGCTTCGTGGTTGGAGTTTACCCCAGTGGACGAGAGGGTCGCCTCCCTACGCCTGCGGGTTATGGGGGGGAAAACTCTGACTGTTGTTTGTGCTTATGCACCAAACAGCAGTTCAGAGTATACGGCCTTCTTGGAGACCCTGGAAAGAGTCCTGTATGGGGCTCCTGAAGGGGACTCTTTAACCTTGCTGGGAGACTTCAACGCACATGTGGGCAATGATGGAGACACTTGGAGGGGCGTGATTGGGAGGAACGGCCCCCCTGATCTGAACCGGAGTGGTGGTTTGTTACTGGACTTCTGTGCTAGTCATGGATTGGCCATAGCAAACACCATGTTCGAACATAAGGATGCTCATAAGTGTGCGTGGTACCAGAGCACCCTAGGCAGAAGGTCCATGATCGATTTCGTTATCGTATCATCGGACCTGAGGCCGTATGTTTTGGACACTCGGGTGGTGAGTTGGGTCGAGTGGCGGCGGAAGCCTCTGGACAGACCTGGTAAGCCCAAACGTGTAGTTCGGGCGAACTGGGAACGTCTGGAGGAGGCCCAAGTTCAGGAGGCCTTCAACTCACACCTCCGGCAGAGCCTTGGGATCCCCCAGTCAGAGCTGGTTGATGTGGCCAGGGAAAATAAAGTTTGGGGCTCTCTGCTGGAACTGCTACCCCCGCAACCCGACCACGAATAAGCGGGAGAAGATGGATGGATGGATGGATGGACTACAGCTTTTTTATAGTTTAGATTTATTGATATTATTGAATTAACATTATGGTTATGTTTCCGATATTATTTAGACAGGTGCCCTAAGAGCTTTCAGTGCGCATATTAAAGTGTTATTTAGTTCTCATGACACGGCCTAGTTGAATAGTCAATACTGATTGGTCAAATTGGACATTTGTGAGGTTGTTGATTTTCGCTAACAGACCGCCGCTAAGGAGAACATAAATATGTGCAGTCTTTTCAATCTGCAGAAAAAGTAACAATATATAATATAACATTAGTTTTCTCCATTGGAAAACACCATGGAATACTTTTTAAATACTTCATTTTATATTCACTTTCGTATTTGTTGAGAGCAAGAAAATTCCTATTTCCTTCATGATACCTAAACTGTCGCTAGGGAAAGAATGGAAAAATAATCATAAGAGAAGAAAAGAGGTCAAAAGACTGGGAACAGCAGAAGAAGACAGACAGGAAGTAAACACTAAAGGGAACAGCAGAAGAAGACAGACAGGAAGTAAACACTAAAGGGAACAGCAGAAGAAGACAGACAGGAAGTAAACACTAAAGGGAACAGCAGAAGAAGACAGACAGGAAGTAAACACTAAAGGGAACAGCAGAAGAAGACATACAGGAAGTAAACACTAAAGGGAACATGGTATGGGCTCTGGTAGTGTTTAAAGACGGGTTAATAAAGGAAAAGAAACCTCGAACAGACTTGGACAGTTACAGAAAACCTTATTCAGTGCGTGCTGCATTTTACGTTATGTTGTTGTCGCCGTAGTTCCAGCCAGTTTTACACAATGGAACGGATCATTTCTTCTTTCTGGAAGGAATACAATATTTTCTTTTCTCACGAGAAGCAAAATGATTGGTGTTCTTTTTAATTAATGTCTTCCTTGCGGAACATTTCTTCTTTCTTAAATGCAGTGGGATATAACAGCCAGGGGTTAAATTGGGCCGGGGCTGTCCGGGGCTCAGCCCCGGCACATAGGACGATGCTCTGACGTCATCACCCTCGCTCATTTGTCATATGTTTAAGCCATATGTTAAAACTTTTCTCGTTCTTCTTAATATAGACTATATTTAAGGTGGATATGTGTTGACTTTAAAATAGCAGATCTCTGTGACAGGATATCGTTTTTTGGCTTAGTGAACGTGTGTCTCTGCTCCGATCAGGAGCTGCAGCACCCCCCGGTCTTGTAACTCGGAGCCCGTTTCCTAAACCATGCTAAATATATGTCTGCATAAAGCTGAGTTATGATCGGTCATAATTACACAGAATTTGGTGATGATTAAATAGTTTACAGTGAGATCTACTCACATACTTTTGGCCATACTCACGCAGCCCTACAAATAAACTGAGATTTCCACACAAATGTTCTTTAGCAAGTGTGCAGAGCAATGTTGATTTAAAAAAGCAATTTGAAGGTTGGATATTTGTAAACCTTTTTTTGTGTATACATTAGGGCAATTCTTTTTTAACGCCACTAGTTATTTGAACGTGCGATTAACGCATGTGTATTTGTCCTCGGCCCGCCCCGTAGTTTCAGAGCCCAAAGGCTTGACGTTGTTGTTATTGTTGTATGGTGGGAGATTCTAGCGAGAGATATGGATACAAAAAAGGTGTTTTAGACAGCAAGCCAAGCACACAGCTGATGCTGACACGCTTGAAAGTTTGCCGGGGAGACGCCTGGACAACAACAGCGATAGCTAAATGGGTGGCTACAGCTTAACATTGTGGAGGACGAGGGGCTGCGTTAGATAATTCGGATCGCATCCAACGTGTCGACTGCACATCACAGCGCATTATTTTGACCCACAGTGGGAACTTCAGTCTCATGCTTTGACTGAAGATGAAGACAGAGGAGCGGCATTTCGCCGACAACTATAAACAGGCTTGTCTGTTTGAGCAACTGGCTCAGTGCAGAGAAGTGCACAGGGTTGGGGGAGAGGGAGAGGGAGAGAGGGAGAGAGAGAGAGAGAGAGAGAGAGAGAGAGAGAGAGAGAGAGAGAGAGAGAGAGAGAGAGAGAGAGAGAGAGAGAGAGAGAGAGAGAGAGAGAGAGAGAGAGAGGTTCCAGGTTGTTGTGTTGAGAATATTCATGAGAATATTTGTCATTGTTCCAATGATAATAAACAAACATTTGCATAAAGCATATTTGTCCACTCATATGTTGATAAGAGTATTAAAAACTTGAAAAATATATAAGGTACATTTAGAACAGATAAAAAATGTGCGATTAACTATGGACCTCATGCGATTAATCGCGATTACATATTTTAATCGACTGACAGCCCTAGTATATATTAATAATTTAAGATCCAAATTAATTCCAGTTTATTTGTAGTACTTTCTATTTTTATTGTGACATTTGGTGGCATCAATGTGTGCATTTGATACAGATAATGGAGCAGTTGCTTTAGGGCCTCATATACCCCCCCCCACATTAAATGATCGGCCACTATACATGCACCATGTGACGTTAACCTTGATTTGTTAGTGTATGTGCCTCTTCCTTACTTTGGGCTCTCTTCTTTAACAGTGATGCTCCTGGCAACCAGCCCGTCTTATTTCAGAGGATTCACCCTCATCGCTCTGAAGGAGGGCAGAGAGGGCACCACAGACGACGACTACACCGGCCAGTTCCAGGTAAGGATGAGCAGGTGTGGAGAGGGATGGAAGAATCGTTGAATACTCAATGAGTTGTTCTGAGTTGGGAACTCATTTACATGCATGTGGGAGTCGACTTCCCGCTGTTTTCTGATATAGAGGTTAACACAACACAACAATATTCACGAAACGGTGTCTCAGGGCTTCTTAACATTTAACAACCTATTAATGTGTCATACCCACTTAACGGGAAGAAACTCAGCTATCAGACAATATTAAAAATGGTTAGCTAAACGAAACACAAGGGTAATACCAAGCCTCTGAATTAGCACTAAGCGAAAAAATGCTAACGCACTTAGCACAGAACTCACGGTAGAAATATTTTATACTTCATCGGATCTGCACAAACAAGATATCATATGAAAGCTGAGATTCCACAGATTCCAATGGTTCCATCACTGTGCGAAAACTCAGGGCAGCGAAGGCAAGCAAAGACAATACACAACTTCACTTTACGTGGCCAAAACGGCAAATAGGTCTTACCTTTGCTGTTTTCTGATCAAAAGTTGTGTTCAATGGCATTACAACGCATATAAACGCTGCTGAAGGTTAATCCAATGTCTCTGTGTCACTTTGAAATGATTACTGATAATCCATCATAACATTTATGGCATTAAACAGAGTTTTCATATATAGCTGCTATGAGAGCTTCCAGTTTGGGCATGCTGGCTGCGCATCACTCTAACTCACCAATGGTAATGTTTAGATGGATTTACCGATGGGTTCCAGAGACATGGCAAATGCACCTAAATGACACCAGAGGTGGGTTTTATTTCCTAAATCTCTCTAAAAAGGTCAAATTTCACTTGTTGTGCATCAATCTTGATACAGGGTACTTATTATATGTTATAGTTTGGATTCCTAAAGCTTTTAGTCTACTATCCCATCATTCAAGGGTGGTTTTCACTATAAGTAATGGGTTTTTTTTTGGACATTATTTTACTATGTTCAATCTGAATTTACTTTAAAATAAAAACATCTATATTGATTCCTACTTTTCTACAAAAAGATTTTTAATTTACCCCTTTTAGAAGGGAAGATATAGTCATTTGTTCTGGAAATGTCATTTTCGAGCCGGAGACCTGAAAAACAGGCTCAGGGTTTAACAGGTTAAAGGAGGTGTTGCTGACAGACACAAAACTGAGCTGTGACTGAAAAGAAAAGGGAATCTAGTTGCCTCTTCTCTGGTGAGGCAGACATGGCATATTTTCACTAAGTAGCAAATATTTCCTTCAGGGGAAGAAAGGATAGAGAGGAAGAGGCATGTGAGGACAAAGAGATAAGAGAGATTTTGAGAGAAAGCAGGAGAGAGATGTGAGATGTTTGACTCAGCAGAAACACAGCTCCCACTGAGCAACAGAGAACTCCTGAAGAGAGAGCCAGACTTCCTTAATTACCTCCCGCTCAGTGTAAACAGGAACACACATCGGCGGCTGTGTTTCCACACACTGATCCTAACCAGACTCTTACCAGACGAGCAGGAGGCGGCTTTAATGCAGCCAACAGTGAGAAGATGTTGCTTCTTGTTTCCACATGCCCACCAACTTCGAAACAATGTTTGTTGAGATTTTGTAGGAATGCTGCCGTGCAGACAGAACAGGGAGTTTAGGGAATCTTTCTGACTTTTTATCTTCTTTTTTTATCATGTTAGCAAAATCTGTGTTTGATGGCACTTTTTTGGTTTCCATTGATGATGGAGGGAAATAAACTACAATGATACATTTCGGCCTATCATGTAGCAGCTGGCTCAGGCTTTTGACATTTACCATAGTTCCGTATTAGCATGAGTACAAACACTGTTTTAAAATGATCATTTTGTATTTCAATTACAATATATCACCCCGCGTCAGCAGGAATTTGTGAAGAAAACTTCAGGGGAAAACTGAGAAAAACTTTGGGTAAAAGGGGGATGCGTTTAACAACAGCAAAACCAACAAAAAAAAAATCTCACTTTCACACAACTTACTTATCAATTTGGGATAAACAGTCTTATGCCTGCACAGTCACGCTATTTTCAGACTAAACCAAAGTTTTAATTCACCTATTTTTAGACGCACCTCTTTCTGTTTATTATGGCCTTTCCTCCAGACACAATGGCATTTTTAGTAACATATAACCAACCCTTTGTAAACTCCAGCCAGGGTGAAATTCTTCAGAAACTCAGTTTTTAGTTTGTACGGTCATTGCCCGCCATTTTCTTCTTTATAAGGCATTGCAAATGAGACGTCAGTTTGTGCATTGGCTTGCATACATCCATCAACAATTCAACTTTTTTTTGTTTCCAAAAATATATGTGCTTACATTTGAATCCTTCATAAAATAAGTATTATTTCAGAATGGTTATATCAGACTGTATGGGTTTTAGCTGTGTTTACCTAATAAACTGGCAACTCAGTGGAATGTGCAAGTCAATGCCTTGGGGAAGGATTTCCACAATATTGTTGAACAAGGCTGCAGGAATTTGCTACGAGATCATAAGTGAGGTCAGCCACAGCAAGCACTGGCTCACAGTCAACGGTCCAGAACTTCTGCTAGTTCTTCTGAATTAAAATGGCAAAACCATTTCTCCATGGACATGACACCGGGGAATTATCGTATTAAACAGAAAAGGGCTACAAATGGCTGTTAAAAAATTGCAAGCATGGTTTTGTCATTCACTAAACACTTAAATGGACTAAAGGAAAACCACTTGAATCCCGTAATTATCTATCACCATTTGTGTTTTTATGCAAATCTAAATGTAGTGCTGTTTTTTACAGATAATTTTTATGATGTCTTTCTCTTTATTTGACAGTAAAGAAAGATATTTACTAATTTAAAAGTTTCTAAATATTTTTATTTTATTAGAAGAATCATAATTGTATAGTCCTAGGAGAGTTATAGGCTCTTCAAGTTCTTTCAAGAGCATTTATTCATTCAGTGTGAATCATCCTGCCTCTGGGAACTTGGTTTCTGACACTGTATGTCGACACATGTTTAATTTGGTCAGTCATTTATTCAATTTCCTTCTTCTGCTCGTGTAAAGTCTTGCATGCCTGGCCGAGGTTTGAACCTAAGCATCTTACTTCAGCTTTGACTGAGTTTACTCTTCTTTTTGAACCACTACGTTATAATGAAAGTATTTGCAAAAGTATAATCAATTACTGTCATAGTATAACACATAACACAACTCATTGTTTGTGTGAGTTTCCCAAACAGGATGGATAGAATTCGATTATATGGACTGATGTTTTTTTAGGGTTAGGGTAAGGAGTTGCTTGGACTTCAGAGTGTTACTTCTGATCAGTTCTTACAAACCAGCTGGTTTCAATTAAAACTAAAATACCATGGACCCTTGGTTTTGTCTGAATTGAGCCAAAGGTAATCTTGAAACCTCCAGTCTCTGTAGTTAGTTCTAATATACTCGGATCACTTTGGTACAAAGGTTTATCTGATTTCTACTACCTGCAAAACAAATACCTCAATGTCTCAACGTCAGAGTCCGAGCAGAGTCTGGGGTAAGGGGGAGAGCAGAAACTGGAACATTGTTGGAGCAATGGACTGATGTTTTTTAGGGTTAGGAGTTTGGTGCTAAGACTTCAGTCTGTCTTCTTATCAGTTCAATAGACACAGATTGTTTCAATGAAAACAAAGATACCAGGGAACCTTGTTTTGTCTAAAATTATCCAAAGGTAATTCTAAAACGGTAAATTGTTGAGCTAACTTTCTCGGTTCAGTTGGTAAAACAGTCTATTAGATTTCTTCTCCCTGCACAATAAATACCTCACAGTCTCAACCTCAGAGTCCCAGCAGAATCTGGTGTGGGGGGGTGAGCAGAAACTGGAATAACATTGGAGCTTGAACAAAGTTGACAAACTGAATAGATATAGATCTAGTACATAGACTGATTTGTTTTTAAGGGTTAGGAGTTTGGTGCTTAGACTTAAGTGTGGTTCTTCTTATAAGTTCTCCAAAACTAAATGTTTAATGAAAAGAAGGATACTAGGGACTGGTGAAACAGTCTATAAGATTTCTTCTCCCTGCACAATGAATACCTCAGAGTCCTAGCAGAATCTGGTGTAAGGCGGAGAGCAGGAACTGGAATATTGTTGGAGCTTGACAAAGTTGACAATCCGGCTTTACAAGCTGTTTAATACATACATTATTGGCCAATCCATCAGACACTTCTTGTCTTGTAATTGACAGTTTTATCCACACGTGCAAAATAATTAGGGCCTCTTGAGATAAGCTGCCGTCAGCTGTCAAGTGTTTAAAGGAGATACTTGGTTCTGAGAAGTACAAAACAAGATGTGTCCTGCATGAAAGATGTAGCCACATAAATGAGTTTTAGATTTTCTTTATCAAATTTGCTGTCCCAGTTATATCAGTGGATGGATAAGAGAAGATATGGCGTGACAGCGAGACTGACTTTTTAACTAAATGACCCCAATCCATCAAACTCAGCTTCTCTTTATCAGAGTGGTTTACATAATAATACTTATGTAAAATGAAATTCATACAGCAATTCATATTCTTGACAGTTTATTCTCCAAAAGTTAATTATGCGGTTAGTTTTGCAATGTCATGATTGTTATTGTTCTGTGGAAGAAAATGAACACAGTTGTGTGTTCTCCCCCCCCCGCTTGCTGCTACTCGGTTGTTTCTGGCAGCTGTCCTGGAATGTGCCCGCCTGCTGTTTCAATAAAACACCACAACTGAGACTTGCTTATTGTTTTTTTCCTTAAGCAATATCCTGCTCCTTGCACCAATTACTACCAATAAAGGACTTCTGTCTCAATGTGTCAGACCTTAAAGATTTTGTCTACAGGCATTGTCTGCTTGGAAATGTGTGTCTTTGTGCTTCTATATGCACAGCATGGGCATGTGGGTATATGTGTGGGTCTGCATGTGTGTTTTTCCCAGCGCTCCTTGCGTTAGTGTGGGACGTGGGTCATATTTATCTAGGCCAGCAGCGTGTTATTGCTCAGGGAGACAAACAC